TATAGCAACAAAGTGGCACATATTGTCCACAAACACTGGGGTATCCTTAAACGATCTTTCCCGAATATTCCGGATTTCCAAGGAACTCCCCTATTTTCGTAGCACAAAACCAGGATACTCCACTGTCTGTAGGCAATATTGTTGTTGCATAGCGACTTGGTGATGACGATGAGAAACTCCTTTCTCCTGGCCATGGTGAAAGCAGATAAATTCTCAAAGATACAGATACCTGAAAATGGATCAAGGATGGAGCTTGACTTGCAGATGGCTGCCATTATGGCTTCCTTAATGTGGTGGTAGTGAAACCTCACAATGGCATCACGAGTAACTGTTGAAATTAGAGTTTTGGAAGTCATGCACCTCCTTCAAAAATGAACAATACACAATAAGTCAATTAATTCCTCTTTTTATTAATATTTCTAAAACCTATTCCAAATATTAAATAATGGCAGATAAATAAAGTTGCCAGCAGCACATGTGGGGGGAGCTGGACATAGTGTGTACCTGAATGGCGCATTATCAGCAGCCAGTAACCACTGGTTGATGTATGGAGTATGTGAGCTCCAGGTCATCAGTGCTAAACAGATTCCAGGTCCCCTAGTTACAAAATGGCAGAGGTATAACTACACTTGACTTCAGAGTCTGCGCTTCGTAACCGGGGGCTGGAATACAGGCTGCTGGGCATCTCTGCTAAATGATAAGTAAATGCTTAACAGCTGACCCAGCAGTTACCATGGTTCCAGGCACCATAACCACTTCATATACATAACCCATTATTGTCCCTAAGATGGTCCTTTAAAATAAACGTGTGACCTTTCATTTCTTATGCCCTGTTCTGTTTAAAATATTGCAATCAACCTTCATCCTACAACTTTTGATCAGACTAATATATCAGTCATAAACTGCGTTGTGTGATATGGATGGAGATATTCACAAACCGAGAATTAGGACGTGTTGACAATAGAATCCATATTTCAGGACAGAATAAGTAACTAGTTTCCTAGCTCAGCAATACTACTCTAAAATGTGTATTTTCCTTTCCAGTCCTCCAGAACTGACAGTGTAGTGAATAAACGCCAGTGTCTAGCTAATCATTGCCCTGGGCTAGCCACGCCACTGTGAGTTTAGTCAATTTCAAGGTCCTGTAACGGGCATTGGGCCAGCTCTCACACACAGACCTGGCTGGCAATCCACCTCTGATCAGCTTGCAGTGTGGATCAGTCCACTTAACAAGTCCACACCGGATTACCCACGTCCATGTAATGCTTTGTGTCAGGCAGAGCAGCACTAATCAGCGGATTATCTGAGACAAGCGGCGTGCCTCACATCCATCAGCAAACCTGAATGGGACGCAGGCTGCGAGGCTGCCCAATGTCTTCCTAAACAGAGTCTACAGAAACTGCGCGCTTCGTCAAAATGCCTCTGAGTCGGTCCTTGTCTGTCAGCTCCCTGAACGGCCTTCCCCAATGGGACGACGAACAGCTCCCTGTGGGTGACTTGCTATTCTTTGAGATCTCGTGGGAAGTGACAAATAAAGGTTTGTGAGTACTCCACACCTAGGGAGCGGGCAGAGTCCTCTTTATCTCATGTATCAGTCTGTGTTACATTGTGTTATATTTTCCCCCAATTGTACAGCACTGCGGAATATGTTGGCACCTTAGAAATGCCAGAAATAATAATAATCTATTAATATGACACTGAATCCATACGTTCCCATCTCCTCTGTATGTAAGTGGCACTTCGATAGCTGAGTTAGTTACTGTGACGCCCAAATCAAGGATTATCTTGTTATTAGATAATGAGATCATTTTGTAAGACATGGTTTTTCGCTAAAATCTGCAAAATGTGTCATTGATTTGGGATGAAAGCCGGCGTGTGACCTTGGCACGGCTTTGGTAAATAGTGAGAAATCGATGGATGTAGGAGAAGTTGGGCTGAGACTCTGTTAGTTAATGTGTGACCCCGTGGATATGTTTACAGAAATTTAGTAAAAACACTGGGACAAAGTACAAACCCTCTGGACCCAGACAGACGGGACATTTTAAGTACAAATCATTATAAATTGTCAATTTTCTGAACTGCCGCTGAAAATATATAAATAAAAGAGAACTATGGAAAGAAATAAGAAAACAAATTGAAACGAGATGAAACCATGAAATATAACGATCACATTATGATATCGCAGTCAGGGGCTCTTTGTAGCTGTCAACCTGTTACTTACTAGTGGATCAGCGCTATGGACTATGTTGGTGCTATGTAAATACATCAGAAGAAGGACAGCAGAATATTTTAATACCATTTTACAGAACGAAGAGAGTTTTGTGGGTTTCTCCATTTATAAGCTTAAAACATCCCCCGAAAGTCCAGAAATTCTTCACATCTGATAAATCGGCTTAGCACCAAGGAATTTACCAAAAATCCAAAAAGTGATTTGTAAAATTTGGGCAAAAAACATAGATATTAAAAATGTCTGGTTTAAAGTCACAGTTTGGCAATTTACATTTTGCAATGTGATTTCAGTTCAGTATAATCCACTGTTTACAATCCTTTGTACGTCCAATAAATATAAAGTTATTACATGCTGCAATATTCTGTTATTTGTATGTGAATTACTAGACTAATACAGCCATTTAATAACTAATTACTAGTTACATTCTAGTTATTAGATGTCTTCTACGTTGACATTAACCGTTTCAGTACACTAGGTGGCAGTCTAACACCACGCTATATTGGGTCTCCTACTGTAAGGCTAAGGGTTATTCCAGCGCGTTCAGCTGCTCAGTTTCTGGTTTTATCAGTGTTACCCGGATTATCAATATATAACATTATGTAATACAATACAGAGGGCAGCGACAGCCTTGGGACGCCGGCAGTCAGTTGTAGTTCTTTGTTAATACACGCACCGTCATATTTGTTTGTAAGAATTTAATTTCCTCCTAAAGCAGGAGTTGGGATTTGGTTTGAAACCATTAATGCCATTTCTGAATGAGCAGCCATGAGTTTCAGCATCAAACACAGAGTTTAGGAAATTCATGGCGCCGAATACATAAATACAAAGTAAATTCATTATTTTATCATATTAAACACTTTCTGGAAAACGTACTCCAGCTGCTTTGTAATCGTCCACGCTAGTTTTCAATAGAAAATGTGTGACTGACACAGCCTGCATGGAAACAAAATGGTTTCATTTTCAATCTGACATTAACTTACTTCATACATTTTTATATCCTTCTCCGTAAATTTTAAACCTTTAATTACATACAGGAAGCTCCTGTAAGTTCTAAGCAGGCTATTAACAGAGCAGGAAAATAAATTCTATATTAAACAGAATTTTCAGTAAAGGAAGTATAAACATTAGATCTCTCCTTACAGGAAGTGCTAGGAAGGCTGTGTAAGTCACATGCAGGGAGGTGTGTCTAGGGCTGTATAAACGAAGTGATTTAACTCCTAAATGGCAGAGTTTTGAGCAATGAGACTGCAGGGGCATGAACTATATGTCAAAACTGTTTTATTAAACTACAGTTGTTTTGGTGACAAGAGTGTGCCTTTAAGGGTAAAATCCAATCTGTGATTAGAGCTTAGTTTGAGAATGCACTTTTTGCATAAACCTTGCGATTCACTTTAACTCCCCCAATTTAGAGAATAAACCTCACTGTCGAGTGAATTCTGCAAAGAGGAAATTGAAGAGACACATTTAGCTCAAGAATAGCAGATCTTAAAAAAAACAAAAAAAAAAAACCTTCTTCTTAACAGCATTCTGCATTTCCCTTGTGATTTCCCCCATCCCCCATTTGGTCTATGTTCAGCACCGTTACAGACTGGCAGTGACAGAGCTGGCAGCAAAGCTAGCCAGATTGTGGGATTTGGGATGCGGGTCTCAGAATTCCATTAATTACTCCAGCGGAGTATCGAATGGATCTGGGCTCGGATCAGCGGCAGCTAAAACTCTCTTTTCTCTTACAGTCGGTGGCATCTATACGGTGATCCAGACTAAAGCCAAGATCACGGCGGACGAATGGGGAGACAATTATTTCATGATTGGACCATATTATGAGCAAAACGTCAGGACCCAGGTGGAGATCTGTGACCCTCCAGATCCTGTCATTGCTAAAGCCATCGATACCTTACAAGCCAATGGGTGCCAGGTAAAGAAAGTGTTAGTTCACTGGCAAGCTATCTCTCACAGTCTCAGCTGGTACTTTAGTGAGGGTTAAACTCATCCTATTAAAGGCTTTATTATCTGATCTCTGCCCCTAACCGAATTACGCAGAGCAAGCCTTCTGGAGACTCTGCCAAAATATCCCGGCGTATCAATCACCACGAACATTTATCATAGTATTTGTTTCATTGAATAGTTTTTATTAAATACATTTCACATTGTACAACTCACAGAGAATATTAAACATGTTATTCTTTGTTACCTTTAAACTTGTGACAGTGTAATTCACAGGACTAAACTTAGTGAATAGCTATCTCTAGAGAGTAATTCTGGGCTCGATGAAACACGTTAATGAAAACATTAAATCAGGGATGGCCAAAAATTTGAAACAGGGGATCTACTTTTTTGGTACTTATCTTAACACCATCTAACACCTACCACAACAAGAAGACAGTCTTAAATTAGAGGGGCGAAGGTTTAAAAATAATATCAGGAAGTATTACTTTACTGAGAGGGTAGTGGATGCATGGAATAGCCTTCCAGTTGAAGTGGTAGAGGTTAACACAGTAAAGGAGTTTAAGCATGCATGGAATAGGCATAAGGCTATCCTAACTATAAGATAAGGCCAGGGACTAATTAAAGTATTTAGAAAATTGGGCAGACTAGATGGGCCGTCACATTCTATGGTTCTATGTTTCTATCTCAATGAAGTGATGCTCTCAGTTTCACCCTTCCACATTTAACACTCAAAACTGTGTTCATAGTGACAGCCACTAGAGGTGCTTTCACTGCACTGACGCAGGAAACCTTTGAGTTCAGTCCTTTCCTATGTGGAAGCTTAAATGCTCACATGGCACTAGTCACGCATTAGGTCCCCTATGCTCCTTTTTCAATACTCGTGGAAGTCACACCTCCTCCATGATAAAGTAGGTGAGCAACGACGAGGGAAAAATGTAATTTAAACCTTTGGTGTTTTTTTTAAATGTATTGCAATTTTTTTAATGCAAGTAGGGACACCAGATATGTACTGGTTGGATTTAAAGGGACACTCCAGGCTCCCACACACGTTAGACGCACTGTGTAGGTTAGGTTACAGTTCGGTACTGGGTGCGTTTATATTATTAACGGGACATTCCAGGCTCCCACACACGCTAGGTGCACTGTGTAGGTTAGGTTACAGTTATACTGGGTGGGTTTATATTATTAAAAGGGGCACTCCAGGCTCCCACACACGTTAGGTGCACGGTGTAGGTTAGGTTACAGTTAGTTATACTGGGTGGGTTTATATTATTAAAGGGACACTCCAGCCTCCCACACACGTTAGATGCACTGTGTAGGTTAGGTTACAGTTAGTTATACTGGGTGGGTTTATATTATTAAATGTACATGTAACGGCACCCCGGGCATAAAAGGGGTTAAAACCGTTTAGGAGATATTCCCTTCCCAGATATAAAGGCAGCTACCAAGGACACCAATCTGCCGAACAGGATGAACCATACGAATGCTCCAAACCATACGAATGCTCCAAACAGCCGAACAGGAAAAAACATACGAATACGTTTACACGCCAGACAGCCAAATAGTAAAATCATACGAATAATCCCCCCAAGTACAAGACGCAGCTCCGTATTGAGGGTCAGCAGGTGATCTGTTTAATCTGGGCTACCTGCCCGGTATTTATGCAGGTCTTCCACCAGGTGGACACTCCCATAAGGGACCTGGTGGGAAACTGTGACACAAATTGTACATTGACCAATAGAAACAGTTTAACATTAAACACTCCCACATGCACATTATAATCCTTCCTCTTTATCCTGGAGATAATTGGGAAGTAACTCAATTATCTCAGAGGATACAGGCAAATCTCCATTTTACACACGGTGAGGAAAACACGTAAAAATATACAATATTACAACTACCGAACAGAATAGGTACATTCAACATATCTTCGATAGCTTAGATCTGAGCGCACATTATTACCGAATGGCGCTCAGATCACATACAGTTCAATCACCATGGAACCAATGTCTTTCACATAGTCTTTCATTATACGAATGGGCTCCATGGCATAGCTATCTGGGATAGCACTGTTCACACAAAGTACCGAACGACCCGGCGTTCGTACAAACGCATGAGACAGTAGAAGGGAGGTCAACAGCTTCAGCGGTGTTCGTGTGAAAGTCATAGCCGTTTCCAGTTCCAGGGAATCGTCGACGAACACCACTGAGCATTCGTCTGTTTAAGATGGCCACTGCCACGTGTTCGGCTATACGAACAGCGGCCATCCTGCGTTTGTCAATTAAGCTGCGGTTAACCGCAGCTCCAGGGAGGTAAATTGCTGGCACACTCCTTACCCAGGTGGTCCGGTCATTCGTCTGTTGGTTCGGTAGATTAAATTTACTGAACGCCCTGGCAGAAAGGCACGAACAAGCCTTTCTGCAGGGAGAAATAAAGGTTTTTACATAGGGGCCATAATGCTGGGGCAGCAGGCGGGCAACCTGCCTTCCCCAGAACATAGTGGCGAGGTTGGTTTCGCCACATCTTTCCCCTTTCCCAAAAAGACTAACAAGGTATCTGGCCTCCTGTCGGTCAGTGCCTTGGTTAGTCCAGCAACCCACCCACAAAATATAATCAGTAGAGTAGCCCACCCCCAATAACTGTTTACTGCACCTGGGGAAACGTGTAACCTGTCTCTGTCCAGGGGCTCCATCATGGCTGTGTTGGGTACGGGTACTCCGGATCTGTGGGTTGCGTGGTGAGCAGAGACCAGTGGTACTCTGCCCTGGTGCCAGTGCTTCAGCTGGAGTAGCCAGGTTGGAGCTTAGCTGGGAAGAGGGGGTAGTAGGCTCCTCTCCCTAGACCCAGTGCTGCTGCTGGAGGGGGAGACCGACTGTCTCCCCTTTTGATAAAAAGTCCTGCTGCTTGGGATCTGGACAGACTGTCCCGCACCCCTGTAGACCAGGCGCAGAGGCCGCGGTCCCATATGCCCCATCTGGGCGAATAAGGTATCCCCTTTGGGGAATAAGCTGCCACTGGGGAGAGGTGGTAATAGGCTCCTCTCCCTGAAACACTCTCTGCCGCTGGGGAGGGAGACTGATTGTCTCCACTCCCAATACAGTGTCCTGCTGCTGGGGAGAGAGAGACCGACTGTCTCTGCTCCTTGTAGGACATACTGCTGCTGGGGAAGGGGGACGATGCTCTCCTTTCCCTGCGAAGGTAGCTTGGGATCTTTACGGGCCATCCAGCATCACTGTGGTTCTGGTACAGAGACCATGGTCCCATCTGTACCATCTGGGGGTGCAGTATCTCCCCTTTGTGGGTTAAGCTGCCGCTGTGGAGAGGGGGTAACATGCTCCTCTCCCTGCAATTCACACTGCCGCTGGAGAAAGGAGACGCTGCTCTCTATTCCCTGCAATTCACACTGCCGCTGGAGAAAGGAGACGCTGCTCTCTATTCCCTGCAATTCACACTGCCGCTGGAGAAAGGAGACGCTGCTCTCTATTCCCTGGAATTCACACTGCCGCTGGGGAAAGGAGACACTGCTCTCTATTCCCTGCAATTCACACTGCCGCTGGGGAAAGGGGATGCTGCTCTCTATTCCCTGCACTTCACACTGCAAAGGAGACGAGGCTCTCTATTCCCTGCAATTCACACTGCCGCTGGGGAAAGGAAATGGTGCTCTCTATTCCCTGCAATTCACACTGCCGCTGGGGAAAGGAGACAAGGCTCTCTATTCCCTACAATTCACACTGCCGCTGGGGAAGGGAGACGAGGCTCTCTATTCCCTGCAATTCACACTGCCGCTGGGGAAAGGACACAAGGCTCTCTATTCCCTGCACTTCACACTGCTGCTGGGGAAAGGAGGCGAGACTCTCTATTCCCTGCACTTCACACTGCTGCTGGGGAAAGGAGACGCTGCTCTCTATTCCCTGCAAATCAATCTGCTGCTTGGGATCTGGGCCGATCGCTCAGCATCACTGCCGCTGGGGAGGGAGGACGCTGCTCTCCTCTTCCTGCAATTCAATCTGCCGCTGGGGATCTGGGCCGACCGCCCAGCATCCCTGTAGGACCGGTCGAGAGACCTCGGTCCCATCTCCACTTGACGGCTGGAGGTCCTCCCAGTACACCTTGACAATAAGTGTTAAGGCAGTGGTGTATCCTGGTTTTGTGCTGCCCTAGGCAGGACAAAACTCAGGCGCCCCCTCCCCCCGCGCCACCCCCACCCAACCCTTCCCCCCCGCTCCACCTTCTAAATACACACACACACAGTCAGACACACACACACACAGAGTCACACACACACACGGTCAGACACACACACAATCACTCACATTAACACTTTTTTTTTTTATTAACCCCCCCCCCCCAGCCTCCTTACCTTTGGGAAAGCTGGGCGGGGGGTTCTCTCTCTCCCTGGGGGTCCAGTGGCTGCCGGTCGGGCTGATGGGCTGGCTGCTGGGTGGGGAGCACTTCCTCTGAGCACTCTGCTCAGCTTCCTCGCGCACCGCAGAGTGAGGCTGGGAGCCGGAATATGACGTCACTGTGGTTCCGGTACAGAGACCATGCCCTCGCGCGCAGCTTGATGAGACCGGGGCCGCAATAGGACGTCATATTCAGAGACAGAACACACAGCTTCCCCTGCGGCCACCAGAGGAGCTCCCCCTGCGGCCGCCACCCAAGTTCACCCTGCGGCCGCAAGCACACCTGTCTGCCCACAGGTAGCAACAAGTGTGTATGTCAGTGGGAGTGTATGTCTGTGTCACGGTGTGTGTGTGTCTGTCTGTGTCACAGTGTGTGTGTGTGTGTGTCTGTGTCACGGTGTGTTATGTATGTCTGTCTGTGTCATGTAATGTGTGTGTGTCTATGTCACGGTGTCTGTATCATGGTGTGTCTGTCATGGTATATGTGTGTCATGGTATGTGTATGTGTCATGGGGTGTGTGTGTGTTAAAATAGTGTTTTTACTCACCTTTTTTTTTTTCCCGAACGTCGTGCTGGTCTCCCCTCGACTGGCCCTGGCTCTATCAAGCTTGATGATCTCAGCCAATCCGCACTGATACAGGAAGCGCCTCTAGTGACCGTCTGAGTGCCTGTCACTAGAGGAAGCAATGTAAACACTGCCTTTTCTCTTAAAAGTCAGTGTTTACATTGAAAAGCCTGCAGGGACAGGCTATAGACACCAGAACCACTACATTAAGCTGTGTGTGTGTCTGTGTGTGCGCGCGCCTGCTAGTGAGTGAGCTTGTGTTTTTATGTCAATGAGCTGATGTATATCAGTGAGATTGTTTGTTTGTCTATGAGGCTGTGTATCAATGAGCTTGTCTGTGTCTGCATGTGAGTATGCTTACTGTATAATTAAACATTTTACTCTGAAAGGACCAATATTTTACATATATATACATATATATATCTCTATCATCTGTCCTGGCAAGACATAGCCTTACATATTACATGCGACAATATATGGCACAATGACTTATGGGGCTGGCATAGATTTTTTTCCAGGGCTGCTTTGTATCCCCAGTCGGTCCCTGCTGGAGGTCCTCATGCAGAGCGTATTTCGTTTAGTGATTGTTGGAGTCTCTGTGAAGGTTAGTGTTAAGTTGGGATTGTTAGCGTTACGAGGGGCTAAGTTTTAGATGGCTTAGGGTGTGATTATGGGGTGTTTAGGGTTTAAATTGAAGTTTCTGTGGAATAAAGAAACATCTATTACACTGCTTTACCCGCCCTTGTAGGTTTATTTCGGTCGATGGCTCATTGAAGGAAGTCCATTCGTCATTCTGTTTGACATTGGGTCTGCGGCCTGGAATCTGGATCGGTGGAAGGGAGAATTTTGGGAAGCGTGCAGTGTGGCGATCCCATTCCATGATCGAGAGGCCAACGATGCTCTTATATTTGGGTCTCTCACCGCTTGGTTCTTAAAAGAGGTAAATTTCACAAATAGAGATTCGGTGACAGTGATATCTGGCGGGAGCACACATTTTCTGCTTTTTTTTAATACACTGCAATGAATATCCGATACACACCATAAACTGTTTGAACTAAATGTCATTTTGATAATAATATGTAATAACTGCCAGAACTCCGACATCGTCATATTCTCTCTCCAACTCATTGCCGTCAGGTTTGCTCGGCCCGACATCGCTGCCGTATCTTTGTTTGTCCAGGAAACATGCTGGATGGCATTGATAATTATTATAACTGTATACGATGAATATTATAACACAGAATATCTTGATTTATCAGGAATAATGGAACAAAATGGGATCTCCAAGAATTCCATCACAGATCTGTCACTACAGTCCATTGAAAGGGTAGTAGATACCTGGAATAGCCTTCCAGTGGGAGCAGTAACAGTGATATAGAAAGGGTAGTAGATACCTGGAATAACCTTCCAGTGGGAGCAGTAACAGTGATATAGAAAGGGTAGTAGATACCTGGAATAGCCTTCCAGTGGGAGCAGTAACAGTGATATAGAAAGGGTAGTAGATACCTGGAACAGCCTTCCAGTGGGAGCAGTAACAGTGATATAGAAAGGGTAGTAGATACCTGGAATAGCCTTCCAGTGGGAGCAGTAACAGTGATATAGAAAGGGTAGTAGATACATGGAATAGCCTTCCAGTGGGAGCAGTAACAGTGATATAGAAAGGGTAGTAGATACCTGGAATAGCCTTCCAGTGGGAGCAGTAACAGTGATATAGAAAGGGTAGTAGATACCTGGAATAGCCTTCCAGTGGGAGCAGTAACAGTGATATAGAAAGGGTAGTAGATACCTGGAATAGCCTTCCAGTGGGAGCAGTAACAGTGATATAGAAAGGGTAGTAGATACCTGGAATAGCCTTCCAGTGGGAGCAGTAACAGTGATATAGAAAGGGTAGTAGATACCTGGAATAGCCTTCCAGTGGGAGCAGTAACAGTGATATAGAAAGGGTAGTAGATACCTGGAATAGCCATCCAGTTGGAGCAGTAACAGTGATATAGAAAGGTTAGTAGATACCTAGAATAGCCTTCCAGTGGAAGCAGTAACAGTGATATAGAAAGGGTAGTAGATACCTGGAATAGCCTTCCAGTGGGAGCAGTAACAGTGATATAGAAAGGGTAGTGGATACCTGGAATAGCCTTCCAGTGGGAGCAGTAACAGTGATATAGAAAGGGTAGTAGACACCTAGATTAGCCTTCCAGTGGCAGTAGCATAGTATAGGAGTATATATTAGATTATGAACTAATCTGGATTATTGGTGTGAGGTTTTGTAATTTGTGACTAAACTGAAAAGCGATTTTTATTTTGGGGCAGTCATTATTTTTGTATGTAGTGATTTCCGATTTTTTTCTGCAAAGTAATTAAATATAAAAATAATATTAAAACCGGGAACACGATGGTTATTATAGGTCCATAGAATATTTTCTTTATTTGAATGAAAGCTCGTCTTACCATAAATCCAATTAATAGGTTCTGTTACTTTTTCACTAAGATTTAAAGGATTAGATTAAAAGATTAAGTGCAAATGACTTTTATTTCAAGTATTACAGATGACATTGAATTGTCATTAACGGCTTCTATGACAACACAGCCAACAAAAGCAATTTTAATTTTCCATCTAAGCTTCACCCCCTTTCCCGGCAAATTACCTTAATATATAATAATTATATAGAAACTGTCACTTTGTGGCAATCGGAACCCTGAAACTTATTCTAAAGCAGAGACACCCATCTACAGC